TGGTCGTCCTCAATGAAATAGATGGGGTCATTGAGGGGCATAAATGAGCGCTTTTCGGGCGACAGTTCCTTCAGACACTTATCCAAATGGGACTCAACGGCTGTTTCGCGAAACTTCTCGACGATAGCGTAGATTTGTTTCTGTTTTTTCTGTTTCTTACGAATGGCTTCAGCCATACGGTCGGCGCTGTTGACGATGGACTCCTGGATGGCAATTGTGGACAACATCTGACGCTCGAGCCATAGCGCGAGGTTCGGCGACTCTGTCCATCGGGGCTGACTGTCCAGTAGGTCCCATGTGGCCAAACAGCGCACCCGGAGTAGCGCCACGAACGAGGACAGGGATGGTATGGACGGCTGGTGCGACCGCAGGATTGCGATGCTGTCGTTCCGCACCACTTGTGATAGTTTTAGGTAATCACTGAAACCAATGTAATGACAATTGTTTTGTTAATAACTATTATTTAGATAGTATTGTCATAAGCTATCATAGATTGGTTATCTAATATCTATCCCATGATTGATATGAGTTTTTGGGAAAAAATTATTTTTCTGAAATACTTGTTTATAAATAGTTTTGGTTTCTTAATAATAACATGAAATATTTATCCTAATATTGCATTAATATTTACTATTTGTATTTATTCATAATATATGTTTTTATTAGCCCTAAATAATGGTATTTATTTTTGATATGATTAATACACTGATAAACTATCAAGTGGTCAATGTGTGTGACTTTTGTTACGGATATTAAACAAATACGATGTTTACATTATCTAGAAATAATGCAAATATAATGTAACATAACATTACTTAACACAAGTATCATAAGTAAAGTGAAAGTGAATAACTTATTTATTTATCACTTAACAAAAAACATCATAAGACATCCGTGTGTTTATTAAATATAATCTGAGATAAATAATTAAGTCAATAGCTATTGTTTGTGTGAACTATTGATTACCGTATTAAATGCAAACTCACTTGAAATGTATGGGATATTTAGCTCGGGTGACAAACCAGGCGTTACTCAGGCCGTAGATTTGGGGCAATTGTAGGCCACGTATTAGACTCGTCAACGACTGCCAGTTCCTTAGTTTACGTAATACACAGCCGACCTTCGGGTGCAACAAATATGTACAGAAAATATAGTTTTCAGATTAGATATCATATCTATAACTAATAAGTATAAAATAAGTTTAATATAATATCAATATATAGACTACAATAGAAACTGAGGGCAAAATGTGATATGATTTGTATCTTAACATAAGATTCTTACGGTTAATATAGACATCAATTGAATCGATAATTCACTGTAAACTCAATTGAAGGAATAATTTAGAGAAATAATTCATTGACTTAATTGCAGTAATTAATTGAAAAGTATTAGGCATTTTTGTTTTGATTACATTATGTAACTATATATTATTGATTTTTACATTTGTACACACGCTTATAATCCATTGAGTACTACCAGGTATAGATTAAGTATTGCATTTTTTCTAGTGAAAATTAGTTTATAATTTAGAAAGCATTTTTTGATAACTAATTAGAGATTCAGTTGTTTATTATTATAAGTGCAAACAAAATATTGTTTTAAATGCAATAATTGGGAGAAATTGATAGCAAGGGATCATTTCATGTGCTAATGAAGTGCCACAAGACGTCAAACTAATGCTACAAAAAGCACTTTTCTAATGAATCTATGAGTCCATAGATAAGGGGAACGCCTCTCAAAAATAGTCTTTTTATCGAAACTATTTTTATGTCTCGTTTGAAGTATAAGTTATAATACAAACTCAATACAATCTCCGGTCTATTCAATATATTCGGCCATTATCTTGATACAATGTCAATTACTGAATTAAATGAGAGAGAGAGAGAGAGAGAGAGAGAACTGTAGTGCATAATTTGTGACAAAGTTCGTTTGGTACTGCAACATAAAATACTACCTGATCATTTTCTCTACTTATCATCAAATGATTTAGACCCCATTCAGGAGTTTATTGTGAGATAACTGTAAAGTATTTGATATTAATTGCTTACAAACACATTATTTAGGGGTACTTCTCAACAGTAGCCGACAGTCTCTCTCTCTCTTAATGAACTACACTTTTAATTATCAAATCTGTATTAAAAATACATTCTTGACATACATTTAATAGCTAGCGTACACTATAGAGAATAATAACCTATTTATTAATAATATTAATCTATTATCTCTCTCTATAATAACAATCCGTTTGACATTTAAAATAAATGTTAGCGAAAGGTAAAGATATGGAATAATAAGGGGACAGTAGGTTAGAGCGGAAATACACACCTCGATAAGGGCTGCAATTTTCTTGCCCTGAGCCTCGACGGTCACCTCCCGGACAATGATATCGGCTATTAATTGGGACAACTCGTGGCCAAAGTCTATGAGTTTGGAGAGCCGGCTTTTGGCGTCGGTATTCTTGCCTTTTCGCAGCACTAGAGACATGACTTCGTCGGACGGCAGGCCAGTCATCAACTCCTTCTCGATTTTGGTGATCTGTAGGGCCAGTGATATGGGATTCTCCAGACGTATGGACTGGACTAAGGCCTTGGCGTCCGTCTTGAGGTTACCGCCCACTCGCAGGTCGAAGCGGTCTTTTTTGCCTGATTTAGGCGGCGCCGTGAAGTGCACGGACTTGCGCCGTATGCTCAGCGATGTATTGGCCCGGAAGCGACCCTTTTCACTGCCGACGTTTAGGTCGATGTCATCCCTGACTCCGGGTGTCGCAGCACTACCTCTACGGCTACTATCGCTGGACTGTTGGCGTTTGGTGGCACCGGTAGTGTTGCCCTTGTGATGCACCAGTCCCTTGCGCTCCTGGAAACCCAATTTATGAAAGTCCAGCTCCGAGTTGGTCCGCCTTAGGGGCAGTTTGGCGTCCGGGCACTGAAGCAAACGGCTCTGGAGTTCGGGTTTAGGGCACATGTATTTGACGGCGTCGGGTAGGACTTTGTTGACTGTCCGCTGCCGGTGCCGCTCACTGTTTTCCAGCCATTTGATAAGCACACAGTCGGCCAGCATCGAGATGGACGTCCAATCGGACTTACCCTTGAATACGTCGCTGCCATCCATGGGCAGCGCCAGTGGGAACAGACACGTGTCCTTCAAGTCGGTGCCGAACCGCTCGACCAGTCGTATGTATTCGTTGCGTTTGTTTTTCTGTTGAGCGCCGGGAGGTACGACGGTAGGCGACTCCGGTATGGCGGCGGGGATTTGGATCGACTTTTTGCCGGTGAATGCGGGCCCGACGGGTGATGTAGGCGTCGAGGGCTCGGAGTACTGCTGAGCGACCAGACCCTCGCCCGTGTATGACTGCCATTCAGTTATCACGTATTGCTATACAACATGAGATTTTTTATGTAAATTTTCATAAATGATTTGATGTATGATTTTGTACTTATTTTTATTACAGGATATATTTTGTACCCAAAGTGAAAAATAATAAAATTATTTTTCATTTTTGGTGTTAATTTCTGTGACTAATTGAATCAATAATTTATTTTAAACGGGTTACTTATTACTATCAGGTTGTGTGTATGATTGTTTGATATTATTGTTTAAATATAAGTAAATAATATGATCATTATTTGAGTTATTATTCACAAAATATTTTTATAACTCAATTAAATTTATTTGGTCTCCCAGTAGTCTACAAACATTGCCTATGAGTTGGTATATATACTTATATAATAAGTAATATTTAATTGTTAATAAAACGAGATTTTTAATTTTGATTTTTTTCCGTACATTTTAAGGCTATCGATATTTAATATTATTATTCATACATATTATATAAAAATTAATTTTAATTTAACCCTTTATATAACATTTTAAATAACTGTGTTTTGCGGTCATTCATTAAAACTTTATTCAATGACTTTTACGTTGAAAAATGTTTGCAAACAGTTTTGTTGCAAAACCGAAAATTATTTGTAAATAATTTATATTGAGCACAATATCAACAACTTTAACAATGAACTTATTATCTATTTGCATATAAGATATTAAAAATTAATTTTAATTTTTCTAAACCTAGCTCACTTTTTAGTACATCTGAATCTAAGCTTAGATTTTATGAAAGTGTTGTGGAAATGCAATATATTTATAATAAAGTACAGATTTTCTTATATAATTCTGAATTAAATAGCTTATAATTATATAATTATACACTACTGAATACAGTAGAGAGATTAACTATTCACTGAAAACAGTGTATATTTTAAGGGATAAGGAATCAATGTATTATAAATAATGTACAAAAGAACTCAGAATGCACTGTACAATATAACCAATCTATTAATATAAATTTTGTAACTTACAAATAATACAAATAATTGTGTTTCCATTTCAAAGTCATGCTTTTGAGTGATTTCACAATAATCTATTGATTATTAGACAATAATATCGTAAATTCAAACTTAATATGAGATTAATTGAGAAAAATTCTGAGAAATTCATGAGATATATTTGCTCTATAATATCACAAATATAATATACATATTTTTAATAAATTAATATAATATAATATAAATTGGTTAAAAATGTAATAAAATGTAAGAAATTTTTAAAAATTCTTTAAACTCTATAGATAAATTCATTTCATTGAAGCTGATTCTAAATATTAATTGCAAAAACACTTACATTATTAGCATTGATGCTTTCAATATCGTTGAGCTGATCCGTCTCCAGTAACGGACTACTCAACGGACTAACAGTTTCACTAAAAGTGGTTCCACTGTTAGTGCGAAACTCATTATAAGATCCGTAACCGGAATCGTATCGATTGATACCACTTTTGTCACCCTTTCTCAACAACGACTGTCCATTGCTGTTGAGTCTATTGACAAGATTTTTGTTGTCATTAGGGGTGCCGTCGACCGACTGGATGGAGGCGTACTGACCATCCGTGCCGTTAATCTCAGCCAAATGTACGCCAGTTTCCAATGATATAGATTTGTTGCCCCCATTCAGTGGGGGTATCATTATGTTGCCATAAATATTGGTCTTGAGGTTCAGGTTTTGCACATTCAATGTCTGTAACTCTTGCCGTGACTTTACAGGCATTTTGTGGTGAATCTGTGAATCGTTTCACAAAATAAATTTATAAAATAAATTGATTAAAATTTTTAGGACCTAAGTTATAAATAAAATTTTATAAATCAATTTCCTAACATAATTAATAAATTAAAATTTAGATAAACTAAAGATTTAAATAATTTAATAAAAATAAAATAGAAAGCTTACCACTGTTCTACAACAAATAACTATCCGGGACAAATATAATTTTTGACTAAAATAGTTGTTTGCACCATTATTTACTTATTAATTTAAGAATAGTAAAACCTCTCGTTACCACGATATATTAACAAGGTATTTTCTACTCTAGGTGCAAACAACTATTTTAGTCAAAAATTATATTTGTCCCGGATAATTATTTGGTGTAGAACAGTCGTTAGTATACTATGCATATACAAAATTAGAGCAAATGGAAATTCATGTGTAAATTAAATAATTACAATATTATGCTCCGGTGATTTAATAATGAAATAAATATGGGATTAAAACAAACAAATGTTTGCTTTTATTTGTATTAATTAATTGATCGACTCGTCGGACAGAGTACACAACACTTTCGCAGTAATCAATTGAATATCATTATAAACACGACACCAATGAACACAAAATAGGTAACAAAACAGTTAAAACAATTTTATTGTATATCTGTGACTGTTTTAATGGATTTTCTATTGGGAGTCCATTTATAGCACCGATCACTTGACTATTCAATGAAATGATAGGCTTTTAATCCTTATATTTCTCATACATTAAAGTTTTTGTGAATACAGTATGTGTTGAGAGAATAGACAGTAAAGTAAGTAGTGTTCAAGAATTGGCATATTTTGTGGTTAGATAAACATTAAATGCTTTTTACTTTTTTATTATCAATCCTTCTGTGCTTTATTATCGATAATGTATTGTCTTTTAGTTGTGATTATACAATCAATTTGCTTATTGTATTAAACTGTATGAAGTTCAACTATACTAAGCAGTAATAAATTATAACTTTCTAATTGAATAAATGTATTGTAGTTTTTAAATCTCTCTACTTTTATTTTTATGATAATAAACATAAAAATTACTAATATATTAAATAAATGTACTGGAGACAATTTTGAAGTTTAGATATTATGTACAAAATACACTTTTGTATCAAAAATAAAATTTTGTAGTATAACACGAAATTATATGAATATCTTTAAAAATTAGATAAATTTTATTAAGGAATCTGTGATTATTATAAGGAATTTGTTTTTAATAATTTTCATTTGTCTATCGACTGATCATTTAATCCATAAACCTCTTGACATTTTAAGAAAATCAATCATTTCTTTAAATAGTATTTAATTGCATATTATATAACATTTAAGATATTTAGCGATAATAATCACGTCAATTGTTAAACTTATTAAACTATTATACTTTTAAACTTATTATAAATGTCAAAATATTAACTTTAATACCTAAATCAATTATGTAGGATTCAATTTTAGAGAATTATAAAATTAAATTTGTATTAGAATTAGCAACTAGTTTATTTTACATGTAACAAATAGTACAAAATATTTTAGTTTATCAATATATTATAAACTGATTTACAATGGGGTGTACCACCACTTAAGACATGGAATTTAGATAATATGAAAATATAATCTTACACTTTTGAATTGTGTGTATATGTACAGAACTATACTGTATATGAGGACTTTGTATACCATGTTAATTAAAGTATAAATTTTGTAGTATAAGCTAATTAGAAAATATTATTTAAATTCACTAACTCTAAAGGCTTTTCGCAATATTAATGGCTACCTATTTAATAGTTATTATATTAGGTAAATCTTATAATCAATGAATTTAATATAACATTATTATATAATTTGTAAAACAAATAAAATATTTCCATTTAATTGAAACACTGTTATAACTGAAAATAACAAACAAAAATAATTTTGAAAATTTTCAATGTCTTATCAACATATTTAATACATACCTGTTGTAACAC